GCAATTCAATAACACTTCTGTTATTATCAGTGCTCTAAATTGAGGTGGATTAATCTATAAAATGCACATTGAATTTTCGATTTGAGACCAATTATCATTATGCAATTAAACAATATATGTTTGTTTGTTGTAGAAATTGTTCATGGGTTTTTGAAAACATATGAAAATTGTAAAATAAAAATAATCCAGTAAACTTTCACTTCATAAAGCTCAAAAATTGAATGTCAAATATGCACTTTTCTGTTGTGACTTTGATCAAATCCATTTGGAGCTTACGTTTTATGTTAGCTTGATCAAATAGCAAACACATAGCATTTTGATAGTTTGTAACTACTAACTCATACGGTTATTCAAGATAAAAGATTGGTAATATAACAACTATTTTATATCGAGAATTTGCCCCATAATGAACAAATGCATATAAAGTTATATGACGCACATACATATTTTCTCATTATTTGTATTCAATATTTACATAGGGGCTCTCCCGTAGGTAAGCGGTTAAGAGCGACGGGACTTGTGTCAGAGGTCCCTGGTTCGATACCCACTTCGAGCAGCCTGTTGTCAGGCAGCATTGACGACGATTTTCACTTGAAAATATAGATAGCAATATATTTCCAAGTGAAAATAGCCCTTGCCCAGCATTGCTGCACCAATAAAATGTCAGCCCTATTAGATTAATTCTAATAACAAAATCATCAAATATGGATGGATTAATCATTGGGTTACTATCTAAAAAAATACGAAGTAAAGGAAAGTTTTAGCCCAACAGCTCATAGGACGTAAGGTTCTGATTGCTGTTCAAAAATAATAGTAAAAAAAAAATACATAAGCAACCACTCAAGTTTTCTTTTTAAGTAAATTATTATAGTTTACTATAAATAGTTTTTTTTTAAATTTTTGTAATAATTCTAAGAAGTAATGTATATCATCATTTTTTTATACAGATCATCAACTTCAATTTTAAAACTGCACTAGAAAATAATGTTTAAAATATTTTTTATATGAGAAAGACTTATTTAAACACAATGTAACCGTTTGATTCAAAATACAAAACTCGGACAAAACATTGAACAAATAAATTGTCAGACCTTTGATATTACGAAGTAAGTGGCTCAAATGTAGATCAATAAGCAAAACATTAATGGATTATGTCGTAGCCACTATTAATAAAAAATGCTTCTAAATACTGTAAAAATGTCGTGTATTTGCTGTGCAATCAGGCGTTTTACATATAAAATGCAACTTCATTCATATGTTATCAAGCCATATCTCTAAAACGCATGACTGCACAGCAACTGCATAAGATTTTTACAGTATTTAGTACTACTTTATATTATATGAAAACTACCACATAACACAGCCTTGCCATAACATTGATTTATTTTAGGCAAGGAGACCATACGTTCCGGTTTTTTACCTTGTGGCCCAGGCTTTTCGGAAAACAATATTTGTCCCGGATTTACATTTTATATCCCGGATTGTCCCGTGTATTATACAATTAGTATGCTTATATGAAGCAATACGTTATGAATGAAAAAATTACAAAGCAAAATTCTAAAGGCGATTTAAATAGGCTCTAACTTTAGCAACTTTAAACTTTCATTTAGAATTTTACGAAAATTAGCAAAAATTATGAAAACAAACTTCTTGAGCACCTTCCAAAAGTGTTAATTTTTACTAAGAGGCCACATCTACTAAGAAAATTATACAAAAATTTATACAAGATTTTGGGTTCTTCTACCTTGATACAGCATCTCTAAAAGTTGCTGTCCCAATTTTTGGTATGAAAAAATATGGTCAACTTAATTTTAAGGCAGAATCGGCTCCTCAGACAATTTTATTTACGATACTTAAATATCATAGCAAATAAATGCCACCACGAGAGCGTTGCGTCAAGAACTTTTCTTACCGTCAAGATTGTTATAGTTTCCTTTGAATAGTTTTTCCTATAATAGTGCTTGACGTATGTATTTGATTTGAGCACAAAACTTTCTGACAATGAGAAATGGCGCACTTCGATAAATCAACGCTTTCCTAGAGAGGCGAGCGTATGTCAGATGTCATACCGAAAATAGATACAGAATGGATCAGTATTAGCCCGATTTGTTGACGTTTACAGGATCCACGCGGATTTTTAGAATATTTCAAGATAAAGGTAAATAATTTAACATGATGGAGTATGCGCGAAATGGCGTTTAAGAATGCCGTCTTGTGCCAAGGAAGATTATACTTAGCTTGGTGTCTGTGCGTTCAAAATACTTGCCATAAACAATTATAATGATTGCTTATTGTTTTTGTGGTAGAAAAATATATAAAGGGTATGGGCGTGTTTCCATACAGAATTGGCTCCACCCTGGTATTTAAATAATTTTGATGCCATTTTATAGGTATTTTTAAGAAAATTTGAAATACCAAATTTCAAATCCGTAGCTCATCATTTGGCCGAGATATCAGTGAAAACATGTGAAAGTGGCCCCTTTTTTCAAACTCACGTTCTGTCGGAAATATGAGAGATAACGAAAAATTGTTAACGTCATCTATTTGTACAATGAATACAATACAATGAGTATACAATTTACAAATTAACTGGTATCGAATTATTCAATTGTAAATGTCATAGTTGTGACGCGGTATAAAGTAGAACACCTCATATGTCTGATGTGTACTCTAATAAATATTACAAATTTTAATTAATTAGTTGCAATGCAAATATGTCTATCATTGATACTTAATTATCATGGAATGAGGCAAAGGGTCTATTTATACTAAGGGTTATCTTCGCTTATGAAATATATTATTGAAATTAGAATAAAAAATGATTAAAGACAATAGGTATACTATTTTGCAGGCTATTAAATTATTGTTAAAAAACAAAACGCCAGCTAAGCCAATATTTTATGTGTAAATCTTTGTATTCATACACAGATATATAAATTATAAAACATGATTAATAAATTCGATTATTTAACTCTTTGGGGACAGCTGTCCACCTGAGTGGACAAACATACTCTGTGAGGCAGACTCAGTTTGCATTGAAAAGTTGAATAAATTACATATAAAGCAGTGATAAATAGTGTTGTATTTTGAAAATAATTTTAAGTTATTTTAGTAGTATTTTTAGCCTTTTTCTTTGCTATATAGTCTTTTTTTAATATTCAAAACGACCGAGTGCTTTTAAATATGGCAATTAAGACATCCATACATAATTATCATTTAAATTTAAATTCGAATTGAACATTGTATTTTCAGTCATAATTGGATTGGACAACTACTGGGTTGCCATCCATTCAAAAACCCATATAATAAAGTCAAAACCATTCCTGAATGTGACAAAAAAAATATTGTATTGACTTCTTATTAAAAAGCAGATGCCAATTTTTTTTATGAATTTTACTCGTAAACATAAACTTAGTTATTATATATTTATTTTGTCGACTTTAGAGATATAACATTTACTTGCACGTATTTTTTTTTAATTTTTGGATTAAATGCAGTATTTCTTCATTAAATATAATAAGTTTTACACATGAAACTTTAATTGTGAATAAGATAAAATACTAAAATTGATTTAAGACTAATTTTACTTTGAATAGTTTTAAAACTATATTGGATTCAGTACAGACTCATGATAAATATCTTTCGGATAAAACGGAATGTCCATTAATGAAACATTAATAAACATTACTTAAGATTAAAGATACTAAAATTGTCAATTAAGAAGTATATTGAGATTAAATTAATGCAAATTAGAATTATTTTTGAATTCGATTCAGGGTTTTGTAAAAGGCAAAAATATATTAACGGTGGACTACAAAAATGATAATTAATAGTATTTAATATATAAACTGGAATTTTTAAAA